CTGGAGAGTAGAAGCGGACACCTTCACAGGGGGAAATGGATGTCCTGCCTGCTTTTAGGTGGAGATGGGGAGACCAGAGAGCTCCCCCTGTGCCTGCTATTTCCTCTATCTATCTATCTATCTATCTATCTATCTATCTATCTATTTAATTTATCTGAGAGGCAGAAACAGAAAGAGAATGCTTGCATCCATTGGTTCACTATCCAAATACCCACAACAGCCAAAGGCTGAAACAAAGAGCCAGGAACTCATGGATGGCAGAAACGCGAACACTTGAGCCATCATCTGCTACCTCCAAGAGTTTGAAGGAGCTGGGACCAGGAGTTGAAACTAGGCGCCCCAGTGAAGGACACGGTTGTCTTAACCAGAGTCTTAACTGCAAGACCAGATGCTTGCCCCCACTTGCTAACATTATGCCAAGGTGAAATGTGCGGGTGCTATGTTCTGATCTCCTTCACTTATCTTATTCTACTGACTTCTTTTTCACAGAGCATGTATACTTTTTACTATAGAAACAATAAGCTTAAAATAATTATATTTGCTCTCTCTGGGATCCTGGAGAATCAGGGAGTTTCTTGAGGAGGCCTGGCATCTCATAAGGGCACCAGTTCAAGTCCTGGCCGTTTCTCTTCTGATCCTGCATCCCTGCTGATGGCCTGGGAAAGCAGCGGAATATGGCCCAAGTGCTTGGGCCCCTGCACCCACATAGGAGACCCAGAAGAAGCTCTTGGCTCCCAGATCGGTCCAACTCTGGCCATTGTGGCCATTTGGGGAGTGAACCAGCAGATGGAAGACCTCTCTCTCTGTCTCTCCCTCTCTCTGTCTGTAACTCTGCCTCTCAAGTAAATAAACAAATCTTTAAAAAAATTAAATAAAAATTTTTAAAAATTAAAATAAAAAGAACACTGTCCAAAACCAGCCAGCAGAACAGGCCCTAGACTCCTGGAACCCAGGAGTCCTGACTCCCCCACTCTTGGGGACTTGAGGTCTGAGCAGACCAGTGGGATTCCTGACCCCTCCACTCCCTGCTAGAAAGGTTCCCCCAACCTGTGCAGTGGCTGCCCTGGGGGTACTCCTTGCCCAGGAATGTGGTCTGGCCTGGCCTGGCTGTAGGAGGCTTGAGAGCCCACCTTTTCCCTTTGCTTTCACCACCCCAGGATCCTGCAGGACCCCTACTGCAGCCTCTGTCTACACAGGAAGAGAGTCCTCAGTCATCAGCAGCTGTCTTGAGAAGTCACGGACTCCCTGACGTGGCCAGAGGCTCTACTCGTCTCACTGGGGAAACAGAACTAAGACCCTGAAAGCCAACAAAGGAATCTTAAGAACAAACCAGAGGTTCTCAGTGCTGTGTGGAGTGAGCTTCCCCCAGTACACAAACCACCCCCTCCCTACTCCAAGCCATTCTACCATGGTCTGGGGAGGGACTGGCAGAAAGAACCCCTCTAACCCCCACCCCTACACCCAGAGCTTGCTGGCTTCCCTGTGCCTGCCAGAATTGTGTGAGAGCATCAGCACTGCCACAATTCAGAGATGGGCTGGCCTGGCCCGGGACCCTGCCCAGGAAGAGGAGAAGAGGGGATTGGCTGATTAGAGGATTTAGTTAAACTGACAGGTGGAGAAATGGCTCCAGGAAAAGAAAGGAACACAGGGAGAATAAAACCCCTAGCAGGAGAGAGACAGAGATAGTATATTCCACCACACCCTCCACCCGCACCCAATGCTGAGCACGAGTGCCTGGGAAATAGGTTCCAACAGGTGCTTCTAGTAGACTTGGCCAATTCCTGCCTGTTAGGCAACATTTCCAGGCCTCTCAGGAGAGGCGGCCCCCAGCCTCCCTCTTAGAAATATAGACCCCACAGGAGAGTAGGGACTGTTAGCTCACCATCCCGCCTGGAAGAGTGAGCCGCCCCAGGCTGCCCATCTTCAGATTCCTTATCTCTGCTCAGGGTGCAGGGTTGAGGGAGGAGGAGAGGGAGGAAGATCTTTCTCCGACAGTCTTTGAGTGAAGGGGAACACCTTCAGTGCACCTGGTGACACCTGCAGCACCTGTACAATAATTAAGAAAATGCAATACAGGCCTTGAGGGGCTGCTGGTCTGGGTCTGGTGGGAAAGGTTCTGAAACCCTTGAGGTCGCAAGGGCTCTTCCCTGCAGAAAGGTCTCCAGGGATGAGAACGGGAGCCAGATCAGGGGTCAGGTCTGTGGTTGCCTCTGTTCCTTCTCCCTACCTCCCTCTCTCATCCCTCTGCCTGGTCCCCTGCCAGCCATTCTCCCACCCTTGGACGTCCTGAAGGGGACAGCAGTTCCCTTCCCTGTCTCTTACCCATACCACCCAGCTCCAGCCTCCCTGCCCTGCAGCCCAGGCTGAGGAGGCAGGAAGCCATCTGGAGGGATCTGGGCCACACTCTGAGGGCAGGGCCAGGAGGGACAAGGTGGCAATGTGAAAGGACAAAAAGGCAGTGAGGAGCCCAATGGGGGCAAATCAAGGAGAAGCTCCACAGAGGCAGCAGCCCCTCCTCATTGTCCTTGTCAACTCCTCACTGCCCTGGCTTTGCGCTGAAGCCTGCAGAAAGAGAAAAGGCCCCGCCACTCAGCAGCACCACAGGTGTGTGCCTGTCACAGGTGCACTCTCATCACAGGTGTGTCAGATTGAGGGGGCGGCAGGCATATTTTGCAATAATGCCCCAGGGTGGGGGTGGGGGATGGGGGATACTGGCTCTGCCTCTCTCCACCGAAAGGTAGAAACCACTTACTGGGCAGAGCTAAAACATGATTAAGGAGAGCCGGCGCCGTGGCTCAATAGGCTAATCCTCCACCTTGCGGCGCCGGCACACCGGGTTCTAGTCCCGGTCGGGGCTCCGGATTCTGTCCCGGTTGCCCCTCTTCCAGGCCAGCTCTCTGCTATGGCCAGGGAGTGCAGTGGAGGATGGCCCAGGTGCTTGGGCCCTGCACCCCATGGGAGACCAGGAAAAGCACCTGGATCCTGGCTCCTGCCATCGGATCAGCGCGGTGCGCCGGCTGCAGCGGCGGCCATTGGAGGGTGAACCAACGGCAAAGGAAGACCTTTCTCTCTCTGTCTCTCTCTCTCACTGTCCACTCTGCCTGTCAAAAATAAAATTAAAAAAAAAAAACATGATTAAGGAAGTCACTGCTGATTGTTGGACATAAAACTCAAACAAAAACATATGAAAATAGTGTTTTACAGAACAGGAAGCAAAACCCAGGCCCGTTGAGTGACTCGTGGCCTAGAATTGGCCTAGCAATTTCTTTAAAGATTATTTGTTTATTTGAAAGGCAGAGTTTCGGAGACAGGGAGAGACAGAGAAAGAGATCTTCCATCTACAGATTCCCTCCCTAGATGGCCATAATTGGTCAGGGATGGGCCAGACTGAAGGCAGGAGCCTGGAGTTTCTTCCAGGTCTCCCACATGGGTAGCAGGAGCCCAAGAACTTGGGCCATCTTCCACTGCTTTCCCAGGAGCATTATCAGGGAGCTGGATTGGAAGTGGAGCAGCAGGGACTCAAATAGGTGCCCATAAGGGATCCAAGCATTGCAGGCAGTGCCTTTACCTGTTGTGCCACAATGTTGGCCCTAGCCTAACAATTTATTTTAAGATTTATTTATTTATTATTTGAAAGAGTTACAAAGAGGCAGAGGTAGAGAAAGAGAGAGAGAGAGAGAGAGAGAGGTCTTCCATCCACTGGTTCATTCCCCAAATGGCCACAACAGCCAGAGCTAGGTCAATCCAAAGCCAGGAGCCAAGAGTCTCTTTCGGGTCTCCCACGTGGGCGCAGGAGCCCAAGCACTTGGCCAATTTTCTACGGCTTCACCAGGCCATAGAGAGAGCTGGGTTGGAAGTGGAGCAGCCTGGTCTCAAATCGGCACCCACATGGGATGCCGGCACTGCAGGCAGTGGCTTAACCCTCCTCGCCATAGCACTGACCCCGCCCTAACAATTTTTTACACCACACAAGAATGACATAAATCTCAGTTCAGACATTGGCCCTAATTGCTATCTGGGTGGGAGCGGCAACCACTCCAGCCATCAGTCTTCGTGCTCCATCTTCTTTCCTGTCCACAACGCCTCTTTGGGGTGCACCCTTTGGACCGAAGTGGCAGGAGCAATGTCGGAGCTGCAAGAGGCTGTGAGGAAGCTGCCCCCAGAGGAAGTCTGAGCAGCACTGGAGTGCAGGTGCAGGGTGGAACGGGGTGTGACAAGAAGAAGAACTCTCAGCTTTGGGAACACCTCTCCCCCCCCCCCCAGCACCTGACTGGCAAGGAGCCCCCACCTCCAGGGTCACCTGCTACCCCTTTCTGATTCCAGCATGCTGGGCTCTAGCCATTTCCTGAAACTGGCTTCTATCCATGAAAAGTGGGCCTCAGGTCCAGGAGAACAGAAACACCAGGTATGCCTCCCACTCTTCCTCAGACCTGTCCTGCCCCTGAGGGAGGTTTTCTCTACCCCTGCCCTCTCTCTAGCCCCAGTTTTTCAAAGTTGGAGCCGTCCTGATCCCTTCCATGTGGTCAGAGCCTCTGTGAGAACAGCTTGCAGTGCAAACTGCCCTGGACAGAATGTTCCAAGCTTTAAAAAAAAAAAAAAAAAAAAACTACCAGATCTTGAATCTCAAATACAAGACAGACACACAGAGAGGTTTTTTTTAAGGTTACACTACAACAGGCTGTACATAGAGGATGCCATCCTTCCTAGGTTGTGGCACAGGTGGGGCTGCTGCACATCCTAGACTCTAACCATGGTTTCTGGTCCTTACCAGCAGCTCAGATAGACCCTAAAGCCAAAGAGGCCTGTGCCCTCCCTCCCACTCAGTATGGCCACTCACCTTTTCTCTTCCTCGGTCATCAGGGGAGGCAAGAAGTAGACCATGGGGCCTATTCAAGTCAGTTCTCCCACCCTGGCCAAGGACTGAAACTCAAAAGAACCGTGAATGTACTCTTTGGGGCCCTCATATTCTCCTCTTGCCAGTCCAACATCAAGAGCACAACTGGACTTTGCATTCTTTTTATTTGGATCATCACATCAGTTAGAGACCCCTCACAACAGCCCTGTGAGGTAGGGAGCACCCATTCCACCACTGGGAGAAGAGGAGAGCCCAGCCCGGGGAAGGCTGCCTTTTGCCCAGGGTCTCATCAGGCAGAGAGGGGTCTCGAGCAGCCCCCAGTGGCACAGCAGCACGCAGGGCAGGAGAGCAGAGTCTTCTCACCAGTGAGGAACTTCCCATCCACCAATCCAGACTTTCCTTTTTCATCCCCATCACAAAAGCAAGGTCCCCCAAGAAGGTACAAGAACCTAGCAGGCCAGAGTCAGGTAGGCAGATGGGTGGGGCCGGTGTCCCCCAAACCTCACTTTTGGGTGAAAATGTGCATGAATTCCTCGTAGTTCACCTTGCCATCCTTGTCTGTGTCGGCCTCTTGGATCATAGCATTCAGCTCCTCATGAGAAAGCTTCTCCCCCAGCTTGCTCATGACCTGCTTGAGCTCTTCCACACTAATGTGGCCGTCACCATTCAGGTCAAAGGCTCGGAAAGCTTCCCGCAGGTCCTGCTCACTGCCCCCTGCCTTCATCATCCTGACCATCTCTGCCAGGAACTCTTGGAAGCTGATGGCTCCGTCTCCATCCTTGTCCACTCGGGTGATGAGAGCCTTCAGCTCCTCCTCCGAGAGCTTCTTGCCCAGCAACTGCATCACTGCACCCAGCTCCTCGACGCTGATGGTGCCATCCCCATTCTTGTCGAACCTGGAGAAGGCCTGCTTGAACTCAGCCACCTGCTCTGGAGACAGCTCCTCAGCCATGCCTGCGTCTCCCGTAGCTCGCCGAGCTTCCGAGCTTGCTGCCAATGTGCTGCTCTCAGAGTTTGTGGTTCAGAACTCAGGGCAGCTGCTGGGTCTGAGCAGTGTCTGTGGGGAGCCTTGCCCTGGCATGGGAACCCCCTCCTTTTCTGCATTTGGAGCAAAGGGAGGAGAAATGTTCCCACCCTTCCCTGGGGCAAGATCCTCCTCCCAGGGAGGGACAGACCAGCTGCAGACAAGAAATCTAGGACTTGGAGTGGGAGGGTCCCCTCTAGGAGAGTCTGGTGGGAACCAGCATGTTTAACACACAGTAGGGTCTCAGACCTACCTGTTACACTCACAGGGAAGACAACTGGGGTTTTCGCTAGGGAGAGACTGTCGAGGCAAGTGGCCAGCCCAAAGACTAGACAGCCCAAAGACATTGAAAGGAAGGAGGATACAGAATGGGGTGGCTGTGGTATGGACTTGGCCAGCCTCAGGTTGGAAGCATGGAAACTCATCCAGGCCTCTCATGTTTCTCTGGCAGGAAACCCATTGCTGCCCACTGCCTTGAGCAGTAGGGTCTAGAATAAAATCTTAGCCCTTGGGGGACCATCCCCAAGTCCTTCCTGTGGTGGGACCCATGCTTGTAACAGGGCATTTGCTGTAGATAACTTTCTCAAGCAAGTTCCTTCTCTCTCCCCATCCCACCGTGCACATAAGGAACAAGTTCTTTCACTGTCCTTCGGAGAAACTGCATAAATTCCACCTCTCCCTAGTTTAGCCAATTAAATAAACTGAGCATTCTCTCCTTCCCTTGGGTGCAAACACCCTACACTGCACACCTGAGTAGAGAGAGTTGCAAGAGGAATATTCCATTTGCCAAACTACTTCTATAAAGATGTCTTGAAGAAGGATTGCTATCTCATCTTTGTGCTGGAATAATACAGAGGCCTCAATAAATATTGAGTAACCCATTTCTCAATGAAACTGACAACCAGTTTTGGGTGGAGAATATCAGTCCTGCCTGGGGACCAGAACAGTGAAGCATCCTGCTTGGTAAGAGGAGTAAGAGGGTGGAGTTCTTAATAACTAGATTCAACCTAGATCATTTATTTATATTTCAAAGGATGATTGAAGATACAAATCTACATTTGAAATTTCCAACTCTTCTCATCTTATTAGCAGGACCTGTGATTAAAAACCAAATACCTAATAATTGTTTCCTTATTATATTTTCCTTGGAATTAAATAATCCTTTGCAAACAATATTGGAACTTCAGCTTCTGGTTACCAGTTTCTTTGTTGATGTGGAAACCTAACTTACGTGTCAATGCCTTCATCTATAAACTAGGCTAACAATCCACCCTGTCTGACCTGAGTTCAGAGGATCCAAGTATAAGGTATGGACCAAAGACAAGATGCTGTTCCATGATAAATCTCACGTTCAGTAATGAGCTGACTCATGCTTGACATCAGCTAACACTCAAGAAAATAACACTTGATTGGGGAACTCATTCTCAACCTTGCTATCATACCGTAGTTGAACTGAAAGGATTCAATTTTCCACCTCCAGATTTTAGTGAACCCCGACAGGCCTGTGCTTGGGCACCAGCTGGCTTTTGGACATCAGCTCTAGCAGAGGCACTTCCATTTGTGTGTAGCTGAATCTCATCCTCGGACAGGAAGATGGTCATTTTGAGCATGATGCTCTTTCCCTAGGAGTCTCTAGGAGGTAAATCCTCTGACTTCTGGGTGAACACTTCTCCACACTCAGTCTGCCATGCTGGGTTCTGTTTCCTTTCTGAGGCAGTTTTCTCTTCTCAGAGCTGGCACAGTGAAGTGGTTTCTTTAAAGCTTCCCGCCTAACAGGCAAGTAGTCAATAGGTGAGAAGTCAGCTGCATCTGCTCAGCCCAAGAGTGAGTTGCTCTCCTCTCCTCTCCTCTCCTCTCCTCTCCTCTCCTCTCCTCTCCTCTCCTCTCCTCTCCTCTCCTCTCCTCTCCTCTCCTCTCCCCTCCCCTCCCCTCCCCTCCTCTCTGGATCAGCACCAGAGACAGCCATTCATGAGTGACTCACATTACAGGGGGCTTGGCACAGCCAGTGAGTGACAAGAAAAGAGGGACATCACGGCATTTGGTGAAATCATTAAGTTTGATGGAGACCCTTCTCCCTGGCTGGTTTAACAAACAGCAATCTGGCTACAGAGCCTAGCTTGGCTCTGTGGAAGGAACAATAGAGACTGGAAGGGCCTTCTTTCTAAGCACATTTTCAGCCCTCACAGATTTCACAGACTGACAGGGGGAGCAAGGGCTTCAGTCCGTATGTCCATCCTATGAGGAGTCCAATGCAGACAGTAGGGTTGGAAGCCACTTTCTCCTGGTCCCAAAGCTGAGCACCCTCCCCCTAGGGCCACCTGAGAGGTGATCCCAGGCAGGTCAGTGGGTGCTATGGTTTGAATGTAGCGTCCCGCTGGTTTGGCCCTTGATGTGGCTGCACTGGAGTGGTATGAGTTGGTTAGGTCATCGGAGACACTGCCATCAGAAGAGATTGAGGCAGTTCTTGTGCGACCCCGGTGAGCTCCTGGGAGGTAAGTTGTTATAAAAGAGTGAGCCTGGCCCTTCCCTGCCAGCTGGCTTCCTGTCTCCCTTTAAGATTCCTTTCATATGTGCCCATGATGGTTCTGTCTGCTCTGAGACCCTCAGCAGAGGCTGAACAAATGGGCTGTCTGGTCTTGGATGTTCAGCCTCCAAAACTGTGAGCTAATGAGCCTATTTTCCTTGTAAGTTACCAGCCTCAGGTGTTTTGTTATAGCACCAGAAAACAGACTTATGCAGTGAGGGCAGGGAAGAATATACCACATCTAGCCCCAGCCATGGCAGCCACGGCCCTTGGGCTGTGTGTGATGGATGCACTGAGGGCCAGAATACCAGCTACTGTGTGGGACAGGCTGAGGTTTGCTGGGAAGTCACACCTGGAATGAGGCAAGAAAGGAGGAGGATGTAGTCATCACGGGGAGAGAAAGCAAAGAGATTTGCAGGAAGACTAGGGTCTTTTTGACCAAGTGTGGGAGACCTCTGCTCTATGGTACACATCCCCTCTTCCATGTGAAAGGAAAGATTCTAACTGGTGGGATTGACCATAGACCTGGAGGAGAAGAGATTCTTTTCATTAAGGAGGGTGGAAGACATCTTCAGATTTTAGAGCAAGGATAAAAGCCTCTCTAAGGTTAGAGTCCCTGAGGGTAAGAAGAGGAGAGTTTATCAGTCATGGGATTGCCTTTTACAGTAGCTGTGCAGGCTCCTGTGTGTGCACAAGTGTGCATGTGTGTATGCATGCATAGGTGTGTTTATGTGTACCTGTTTGTGTTGGGATGGGATGTTGGGATGTCTTTCCACTCAGGTGTTTAGAACAAATGGCTAAAGTCAACTCCAGCTTTCACATGAGCTTGACTCACATGAACAAAAATACACTTAGCTGCTTCCATTTGCTTGGTGAAACACTCCTGTGGAACCAGTTAAACAGGTCCTGGAGCACAGAGCAGAGCAGGGACTTCTCTGGCTCCTGTGACTTTCAGAAACCTGACATCCCCCTCTCACCTGAGCTGTCTCCAAGGCATGGGCACAGTCCTGAGGCAAGCCCACTCCCAGGGAAATGAGAAGGACTCACCACCACATCTCTCTGGGACCCACAAGTTCTCTCAAAGTTCACAGAGCTCACCAGCTATGGCAAGTTCCTTAGCAAAGAGCAGTAGAAATGGTGAGTGATTGTCCTGCCTTTGTTGACAACAGACTCTGAGCCTCCTTTCCTGTGTACCCCTAAACACATCACAGTGTTCCCTCCAGGGGTGATAGCATCTGAACTGGCCACTGGGCCCAGGCCGCTGGGGGTCAAGTCTTGGATTTCACATTGTCCTACCTATGTAGTTTTGGGCAAGCTGCTTCACCACCCCAAGCACTAGTTGTCTGTATTGTAAAGGAGTTAACACCGGTACCTACCTCATTGGTTTGTGAGAGGACTAAAGCTCTGTGGGGACAGCACCAGCTGAGGATGTGGCTGGAGTAAGCACTTGGTAAGGAAGTGCTGTCACTATTACTCGTCCACCCCCTCACCCTGCACCAGCTCCCTGCTAGGTGCTGTACCAGGCTTCTCTATCCTGGAAGCTGTCTTCACACTAATCACAGCAAACTAGAGTGGTGACTAAGTTCTCAGAGTGTCATAAGCTGACTTCAGAAAGATCTATTTGATGTGCTGAGGACAGAATCAGCCTTGCTCCCTACTTCATCCTAGTGCCTACCACACAGTCATGTTCCGTGCATGTTGAATGAGTTCCCAAGAGGAGCATAATTCTATAGGCAGTCACCACATGGTAAGGACTCAGAAGCTGGAGGTCCTCACCAGCTGGGGTAGATCCCTGCCCAATCCACAGTGTGATTCTCAGGCTACAACAACACAGTCACACCAATGGTCCCTTGGGAGAAGGAGAGAGGTTCTACTCTCATGGAAGTTATATTTTTGCCTTCTCATGAGGAAGAGAGGCCTTGGGGCTGGCAAGGGCTGCTCTTCACTTAGTGCCCACAATCTGCCTCAACTTGTTGGGTGAGCGGGCAGGGGCGGTCCTTCCCCACTCTCCTCTGCCAGTGACACACCTAGGAGCTTGGCAGGACTCACATCACTCTGTGTCCCCGACCCTGGGTCCCTTCCATTCCTACCTCCTAGTCGTCTAGTACTTTCCATGAGACGCGTTTTGAATGAGGTACATTTTCCAGGTAACTGAAGCATTTTAAATCTGACCATTGTGATAGAGATCTATCAAAGGTGGATTACATGTTTCATACAGATGATTTTAAATAAATTAGGCAGACCATAATTCCAGTGCCTACAGGTGATCTGTGAGACCCTCAGTCTGTCATATGTAGCCCACAGAGACTTACACAGGGTCTATTTGCCATTCACGGGACAATAAATTTTCCAAGCGATCATTCCCACCTGCTGCTGTATGTTAACTGTCAGTCACTCTCCCATGAGGCTTCCTCCATGTGCCCTCTGCTCCTCTTCATTTCACGGCTATTATTGGCCCAACTTAACATTACAAGGAAAAAAGAAATCAGCCACGCTGTTGTGAATCAACTTTTAACCAAATACAGTGGCAAATCGGCTGCTCTAAGAGGGGAGCTCGGGGTTGCCAACACATTTCTGAATTCAGGCCTGCATTCTGAAGCACTGAGTCTGACCTCTGGATCAAGCAGGGATTCACTGAGTCACTCTGGACATGCATGTGTGGACGCTTCTTTCGTGACATCACCATTCCAAGCACTACCAGCTCCTCTTTCTGGAAAAAAAGTGAATAAATGAAGGGAGCAAAGCCAAGACACCACCGCAGCTGAAGGAGTAAGCGTGGTGCACCAAGCGTCCATGCACTGCCTGGGAAACACAGATGGCAGCGGGGAGCCCGCAAAGCTCAGACTGTGCACTCTGCTTCCCTTAAATCAGGGGAACTCCAGACCAGCTTCCCAAGATCCCCACATCCTTGGAAATCCACCTGCCTTTTGCCAGGCAGGAGAATAGTGTGTTCTCTGTACAAATATGCCTCCTCACTGACAGGCGGGTCCTGTGTTGGTGACAGTACATCTCCAGAGTGTCCAGGTGATAACTGCCCTGCCCCAGAGAACCAGATAATCCAATTCCCCCCGCCCCCACCTTCTCTCTCTCTCTCTCATCCTTGAGCACACACACACAATTCACACTTGCATTTGAAACAAACATAACTGCCCACTTTTTGTTTTACCAATCAAAGACATTTTAAAAAATGACTACTTTCCTTGTGTGTTTTTTTGTTTGTTTGTTTGTTTGTTTTTACCTGCCACTCACCATTTTTAGAAAAGACAAGAGTTAAGAAAAGATCTTCTCAAGAAAAAACAGTTCTCAAAATTATGTGTACGCATTTCTCTTGGGGCAGACGAAACCTTTGTCGTGGTCTGGCACCAGACCAGGGTCTGACTTTGGGGAGTTCCCAAGGAAGGCACAACACAGGGGACTGGCAGTAAGGGCAGGGTACAGCTGCTAAGCCTGGGGAAACTGACAAGGAGAAGCAGGCCTGGGTCAGGGTGTGGAGAGGGAAGAGCAGGATCTTCAGGTTCCTGGGGGAAGGTGGTAGTAGCAGCGGGAGAAGAGGAACCTCAAATGGAGATGTTGCCAAGAGCTAACTTTATGCTTTTGTCAGAGGTTCCAGGACACAAAGAGATAATCCACCTGTTTGACATGAGGATGTGAATAGCTGTTTGTCATAACCATAGCAACTGTTGTGACAAATACCCTTTGAGGGAGTTTAGATCTAGATACCTAAATTCAGGGAGCATTTAGCCTTAATGTGGCTTAAGCCATGGCTTGTGAGGCCAGCAAGCTTACAGAGCACAGATTTGAGTCCTTGCTGCTTCATTTCCAATTCAACTCCCTCCTAATGTGCCTGGCAAAGCAGCAGATGATGGTTCAAATAATTGGGTCCATGCACCCACATGGGAAACCCAGATGGAGTTTTTGGCTCCTGGCTTTGGCCTGGCCCAGCACTGGTCATTGTGGCCATTTAGGGATTGAACCTAAAGATCTTTCCCCACCACCTACCCAATCTTTGTCACTCTGCCTTTCAAATAAATAAAATAAATTTTAGTAAATAATTAAATACCTGCAAGTATGTGGATACTCAATGTGAGAAGTGAGATGGAAATATATTTATGGGCTAACACTGTGGTGCAGTGAGTAAAGCTGCTGCCTGCAGTGCCAGCATCCCATATGGGCACCAATTCAAGTCTGGCTGCTCCACTTCCAATCCAGCTCCCTGGGAAAACAGTAGAAGGTGGTTCAAGTGCTTGGGACTCTACCACCCATGTGGGAGACCTGAAAGAAGCTCCTGGCTTCTGGCCCAGCCCTGGTTGTTGTGACCCTCTGGGGGAGTGAACCAGTGGAAGGAAGATCTCTCTCGCTCTCTCTCTCTCTCTCTCTCTCCTGACCTCTCTTCTCTCTCTCCCTGTAACTCTGCCTTTCAAATGAACAAAATAAATCTTTTAAAAATATATGTATTTTTAAAATTACTTGAATAATTACTTAATTCCAGAAACCAACAAGTTTTAAAAGAAAAGATAGAAATATTTGACTATTTTAAAAAAAAACCTTTTATATGGATGCAAAAAGTAGACAATGTTCTTTGGATCTACTAGGAGGCCAGGAAAGCAAACAAGATATGTGTGTGGTAAGAAAGGAGGCAGATGCTGCTTATGACTGTATGACCCACAGTAGTAGGGGCTGGCACAGATATTGTTCTTTTCCCAGAGGCCCTTGTCCTCCTCTGTGCTTTTCCTTGGGCACATGGCCTGGCAGACACAGGAAGCTCACCGATTTCAACTAGGTGGGAGCAGGGAAACCTGGGAGAACAGGGCCTTCTCCTTCCAGCCTTACAAAACAGCTCAGGTCTAGTCTGCATTGGGCCACGATTATGCCATTGCAGCCCATTATCTGAGGAAGAAGGGTGACTCCTGTGACACCCAGGCTTGGACCCCATCACCAGGACAGGAGACTTGGACCTGCACTAGCTGC